CACTTCCACTGCTGTTTCTTTTATTTATTGGGGTCTGGATAAGATTTCCTCTGAGCCAAGACTTCTGCAGACTAGAAAAAAAAGTGTTTATAATTCTGTAAGAACTACAGATGCCATTATTGTCATTTACAAGTCATTTACAAATCTGCAAATGTCCTGGGAGCTGGATCCTGTTCAGCTCAGCCCTGCTTGCAGCAAAAAGAGGGAAAGTATAAGACAGAGGATGTGGATCCTCCCACCTCTACCTCCAAAAGTGATTACAGGCATGTGCCACACTTGACTCTTTTATTTTTAATTTTTTTTTGCTTTATTTTCATTTTATGTGTGTGTATTGCCTGCATGAACAGCCAGTGATCTTAACTGTCAAGCCATCTCTCCAGCCCCCTTTTTTGTTGCTGCTGTTGTTGGGTTTTTTGTTGTTGTTGTTGTTGTTGTTTTGAGACAGGGTCTCCCTGTAGTCACAGCTGGCCTGGATTCACTATGGAGACCAGGCTGGCCTCGAACTCACAGAGATTCACCTGCCTCTACCTCCCAAGTGCTGGGATTAAAGGTGTGCACCACCACGGCAGGCTTATCCCCCTCTCCCCCCCCCTTTTTTTTTTTTTTTGTAAGACAGAGTATTACTATGTATCTCTGGCTGGCCTTATACTTGAGATCCTACTGTTTGAGCCTCCAGAGTGCTGGGATGACAGACATGAGCCTTCTTCCTCTACCTTCAAAGCAAATCATGTCCATTTCTGCTTGTTGTCAAATGGCCTTTTCCTCTGATTCTTACCCTCCTGTGTTCTCTTATAAGGACCATTAAAATTACATTTGAAGGGCTGGAGAGATGGTTCAGTGATTAAGAGCACTGACTGCTCATGCAGAAGACATGGGCTCAAATCCCAGCACCCATATGATGGCCAACAACTGTCTGTAACTCTAGTTCCAGGGGATCCAACACCCTCTTCTGTCTTCCTCAGGTATTGCACGACATGGTACATATACATACATGCAGGTATAGCAGCACTCGTACATATGAGATAAAAATAACCTCCCCCAAATTTTTTTTAATTACATTTGGACCCATCAGCCCATCAATCCTTTTTAATTTAATCACATTGCAAAAAGTTACAACCACAAACAGGACATATGTGGCAGAAAATTATTCAGCCTACTAGGAAATCTTACTTCATAGCCTTCATTCACTCAAGATGGGAGAGCTTGGTAATTATCCTACAGATGTCTTTAGTTGGTTCCTAAGCATCACACTACAAAGTTGAGAGTCTTAGAGTGGCAGTTCAGGTATCTTCAGGTGGCTAGGGGGAGATGCAAATGTGTGCTTCTAATAAGACAGTTCTGGGCTAAAGAGATAGCTCAGCAGTTAAGAGCACTGGCTGCTCTTACAGAGAACCTGGTTTGGATTCCTAGACCCCACATGGCGGCTAACAACCATCCATAACTCTAGTTCCAAGGAATCTGACACCCTCTTCTGACCTCTGTGGGCATTGTATGACACAGATATGCTTACACACATGCAGGCAATACACTCATACACATAAAATAAAAATAATTTAAAAAAAATTTTTTAAAGGCCAGTTCTGATGCCTGGTCCTAGAAAAATTCTTGTGCAGAATACCTGATACCAGGGACACATCAATGATGGTGTGAGACAAAGGAATTGGAAGCAGGACTCTGCCAGAAACCTTCTCAGCTTTAGGGCTAGGAATGCAACTCGGTGTTTGTGTGCTCACCTAGCATGCATAAGTCCCCTGGGTTCAAACCCCAGTGATACAAAACCAAAGAAAGAAAGAAAAAATGCTCATGCCAGGTGTGGTGGCACCTGCTTTTAATCCCAGGCAGAGGCAATCGGATCTCCGTGAGTTCAAGGCCAACCTAGTCTACATAGTAAATTCCAGGCC